GTCTGGCTTGCCTGGCTTGGCCCTGGGCCCCCTCGGGAGATCCTGTGCATCTGCCCTGTGCCCTGCCGAGCTCTGTGGGAACATGGGACAGCTCACAGCAGGTGACGAGGTGCTCTGGCCATAGTCAGGCTCCCAGTAGGCTTTTCAGGACGTGAGCAACCTGGTGCACATCGAGGGGCAGTACCTGCCTTCGGGCTTGGTAGAGAATGTCGCTAGAGCATGAAGTATCCTTCAAAAAATTAATTCAGAAAATTCTAACTGTGGTGACATACACGTTCAATTTACCGTCTTAGCCATTTGTAGGCACACAGTTCAGTAGGAAGTGTGTTCACAGTGTTGTGCAACCCCATCTCTAGAACTTTGTCGTCTTGCAAAGCTGAAACTCCGTACCCATTAAACTGTCCCATTTCCCAGCCCTTCCTCTTACCTTCTGAAGCAGGAAGCTTTGTCTTCCTTCCATCACCCCTCCTTTTTGAGCATTGGCCCCAAGGGAAGCGTCTGGGCCTTTGGGGTAGGGTTGTATAGAGGGCACTGAGCTGTCATCAGACCTGCGAGGAGGAAATGGAAGGTTCTGCCAAAGGAGGTTGTCCCTATAGATTTTCCTTCCTGAAATTTGCAGTCTTCATGCAGCTTTTCTGTGACATGTCCCAATTCCATTGAAAATTGCTTTGCTCTGTTATTCCTTTAAACCGTCCTTAAATAATATGTCCTCTAACGTTTGTGGCTGGTGTTGATGTTCTATGCAATGATAAGATGGCACCTTTAAATCCTGTGTGACTTTAATTTTCTCCCTCAGAACTGCAGTTTTTCATTCTTCGTATTTTTCATGTTTTTGAATTGAGGTTTTCCAGTTTGGGCCCAATCCTACTGCTGAATATTTCTGGAAAAATTTGAGTCGCAGCCATTGGGTGGTTCTCAAAATATCAAAACAAGGAAAAAGTTATGTGTTTTCCTTTTCTTCACCCAGGTTTGGGGATAGGTAATTAAGACATGACTTCAGAATTGGCCTACAGATGGTCCAGTGTAAAAAAAAAAAAAAAAAAAAGGGAAGAGAGAAAAGAAAAAGAAACAATGACTGCTATTTTTGTTCTTGGGGGAATAAATTTGGGGAAAGGAGTAAGAACAGAACAGCTAAATGTGTTCTGTTTTTCCTTGTGGGAAAGAATACTAAGTTACACAAAGATTTTCTTTTGCTTTAATAATAGTTCTCAAAGAGTAAGATCCAAGCAATGACACAGCTAATTCCTTTCTCACAGATGCTCAAGCACAGTGCGTGCCTGGCTTCTGACGAGTGTGTACCAGACAGTGTGTCCAGCTTCACGTGGCCTGAATTAACTGTGCCTCCACTGTCCATTCTGGTCGTTGCTTTATGTTGCTGCTGATGTACCCAAGAACACAGCAAAAAGTTCTAATGCCCCTGCTGGAAAATTCTCCCTTCTAGATGGTGTCCATCAGGGGAAAAAAAAAAAAAAAAGTAGACGTTTCAACACCAAGTGAAATAACTCAGAGGAAAAGAAATACTGTGTGCTCTCACTTATATGTGGAATCTAAAAGGGCTGAACTCCTAGGTACAGAGAAGAGTTTGCTGGTTGCCAGAGATGGGGGTGGGCAATGGGCGAAGGGGGTCAAAAGGTGCACGCTTCCAGTTATTATAAGTCTTGGGGATATAATGTACAGCAAGGTGACCGTGGTTAATAATACTGAATCACGTTTGCAAGTTCCTGAGAGGATAGATCTTAAAAGTTCTTACCACAAGAAAACAGATTGTGACTATGCGAGGTGATGGGTGTTTGCTGAACTTCTTGGGATGATCATTTGCAGTGTGTGTGTGTGTGTATGTATGTGTGTGTCTGTCAAATCATGTACACCTAAAAGTAATACAATGTTATATATCAGTCATCTCTCAAACTAGAAAAAACAAAGGAAAAACCAGCACACACTAAAGCAGAAGTCTTTCCCCAGGTGTTCAAAAGACTCCCATCCCTGTTCTTTCCGTATCTTCTTCTACCACGTATGTGATTTATCCCACGATATTTATATAATATATACTTATATGTATTGTATATATATATAAATATGTATGCATTTTATGGGATAATATATATATAGGATAATATATATATAGGATATATATATATAATATATGGGGGATAATATATATTTATCCCATTATGCCCTCTGCATCCTGCTTTGTCCATATTTACAGGAGAGGGACCAGGGAGCCTCACATTCAATGGGCTTTTCTCATCCATGTCAACTTTGATTACTCTGCCTTGTGTGAGATTTCCTCTTTCTTTTCCCCTTGAAGTGCTTTCCTTTGATTTTTTTTTTTTTTTTATATTGAGGTCCTTATAATGAAGTTCTAAAAGCAAGAGGTACAAAACTGAGAGGGACAAATCCTCTCTTGTTACTATAATCCTGTCTCCGTGACACACTGTGGTTAGAATGAAGACTCTGGGGAATAAAGGAGGAATATGGCCTTGTTGTCCCGACAAGCCTGGATGTGAGTTGGGGTCATTGCTGACTGGCTGTGGGTCTTGAGCAGGTGTCTTTCTCTTGATTAGCTGAAGGTGGTAGAGATATTGAATTTGACGGGTTTTGATGAGGGTTAGAGATGACACAGGCTGGCACATGACAGATGGCCAAAGGCATTGACCTCCCCTTTCCCCTTCTTAAAGGTCCCCTTCAACGTCCCCCATAAAAGCCCATAATGGGAGTTTTAAGTTTTCTACCAAGATTATCTAATACCCATTCTTTCTTTGGGAATCTGTTGTTCTATGCCTTTTTTTCTTTTTTTTAAACAACTGATTTCCAGCTTAGCTTTGTGTGTTTGTGCACACATGTGGGTGTGATTCCAGAGTTTCCTATCATGTGCATATTTCTTTTGGGAATTCATATTTATGGGAGTTTTTAGATCTCAGAAGATCCTTTTTTTTTTAAAGTATTTATTTATTTTAGAGAGTGAGCATGGTGGGGGAGGGGTGGAGAGACAGGGAGAATCCTCAGGTAGACTCCCCACTGAGTGTAGAGCCCGACGTGGGGCCCAATCCAGTGACCCCAAGATCGTGACTGGAGCTGAAATCAAGAGTCAGATGCTCAACCAGCTGAGCCACCCAGGCGTCCCCAGAAGGCCTTTTAAATAAATCTGGGTCGTATTTCCCATATATACATTTTTTTGTTATTATTCTTTATGAACACTGAAAATTAAATTTCATATAATTATTCTTTCTTCAGATTTTTTTTGTACTGGAAAAATGCAAGATTTTAAATATGTTAATATTTTATAATTTTTTAATTAATAATAGTTTTTAATGAGCGTAATTTTTATCTTATTTATAAAAACTTTTATTTCATTCATATGTATTTTCTGGAAAAAATGAGCAAATAGTACAGAGAGTTCCCATACACAAATCTCTTATTATCGTCTTACAATAGTATGGTATAAACTAACGGACCAATATTGATGTATCATTTTTATTATTTTTATGGAAGCATAATCAACACACAGTGTTATATTTCAAGTGCATAGAGTCAATAAATCTGTACATTATTCAGTGCCCATCATGATAAGTGCGGTCATCATCTGTCACCAAACAATGTTACTACAATCTTACTGACTGTATTTCCTATGCTATACTTTACATTTTTGTGACTTCTTTATCATTTATTTATTTAAGATTTTATTTCTTTGACAAAGAGAGACAGCGAGAGAGGGAACACAAGCTGGGGGAGTGGGAGAGAGAGAGGCAGGCTTCCCGCTGAGCAGGGAGCCCGATGCGGGGCTCGGTCCCAGGACCCTGGGATCATGACCTGAGATGAAGGTGGACCCATAACAACTGAGCCACCCAGGCGCCCCGATGTTGACTTCTTTATTTTATAACTTGAAAGTTTATATCTCTTTAAGGTTAAACCCCTTTTTTTATTTCCCCTGTGTCCCGCTCACCTCCCCTGAGTTTGTTAATCATCAGTTCTCTGTATTTAAGAGCCTGTTTTTGTTTGTTCTTTTCATTTTTTTGGTTCCACATATAAGTGAAATCATGTGTTATTTGTCTTTCTCTGACTTACTTCACTTAGTATAATACTCTCCAGGTCCATACATATTGTCACAAATGGCAAGATCTCATTTTTTTTTAAAGATTTTATTTATTTATTTGTCAGAGAGAAAGAGAAAGCACGCACAAGCAGGCAGAGAGGCAGCCAGAGGCAGAGAGAGCAGGCTCCCCACTGAGTGAGAAGCCCAATGTGGGACTCGATCCCAGGATCCTGGGATCACGACCCGAGCCGAAGGCAGCAGCTTAACCAACTGAGCCACCCAGGCACCCCAAGATCTCATTCTTTTTTATGCTGAGTAATACTCCATTGTATAGATGTATCCTACCTCTTTATCCATTCGTTTGTTGATTGACACTTGACTGTTGTAAATAATCCTGCCATAAATGTGGGGTGCATACGTCTTTTCAAATTAGTGTTTTCATTTCCTCTAGGTAAATACCCTTTAGTGGAATTACAGGATCAGAGGGTAGTTCTATTTTTAATTTTGGGAGGAACCTCCGACCTATTTTCCACAGTAGCTACACCAGTTTACATTCCCACCAACAGTGCACGAGGGTTCCTTTTCCTCTACATCCTTGCCAACCCTCGTTATTTCTTGACTTTTTGATGCTAGTCATTCCGACAGGTATAAGGTCACAGCTCCTTGTGGTTTGGGTAGGTGTTTCCCTAGTGACAGAGCATCTTTTCATGTGTCCGATGGCCATCTGTAGGTCTTCTTTGAAAAAATGTCTGTTCAGGTCCTCTGCCCGTTGGATTATTTTTTGGCATTCTAATTCATTATTATTGACTAGAGTCAATAGTTAATGCACATGTCCTTAGTTTTTACCTAACATCTTTTGTCTGTTCCAGGATCCCTTCCCGGATACCACTGTATTTTTACAAACTTTTTATTAATTTTTAAATTAATTTTTCACATCATTAACTCTTTTTTTTTTTTCTCTTGACAGGTGTACAATATGTTTCAACACCAGAGCCTTGGAAGTAAGGTGAACATTCAGGTTACCAAGCTCGTCCTGCTACGACAACGGCCTGTAAGTCCCCATGGACGCCCGTCAGAGCACACAGACGGCGTAACTGGTCTGCAAGTTTCCTAGTTGCTGTGGAGTGCTAAGGAGGAGTGCAGGTGGTTGTCAGTCCTGTCTGCCCTGCCAGGCTTTGCAGATGGCAGCAGTGTGCCCTGGGCTGGGGACTGGGGATGTCCAGTGGGAGGAGGGCAGGTACTGTTACTAGAAGCTTGGTGTGCACGTGATGTGCTTGGAATTTCTAGGGAACTCTGAGCACTGGGCCTGTGTGCATCCCTCCAACACTCCCGGCGCATCTCACGTGTGCACCTCTAGACGGTGAGGTCTTTGGAAACCAATCACTACCTTCTGGAGCTACATCCCAGCCCCGGGCCAAATTTGGATTCTCTGTAGCATTGTTTTCTGGTCTTTGAGTCAAGTGCATTCCCACAGGATAATGTCACTTGCGGAGTTGGGCAATGAACTTGAAAACAAGAGACCGATGATGCTTGGTTGGGCACATAGTTCAGTTTGCCAAAAAAAAAAAAAAGAAGAAAAGAAAAAAATATATTTTTCTTTAATAACATAGTCTTTATATGAACTTGCAAAGAAGGCCCTGGCCTCTCTCTGGTCTGTGCACCTTCCTACCAGCATTACGATTGCATTTGGGAGAAGCACTTCATGGGATGATGTCCCAGCAAGCAGTTGTCTCCACACTATATTCTGAATGTAAACTCTGGCTTCCTTGGGTGTTTGCTTTTTTAACTGCCCCCCACCCACCCCTGTTTCTTTCAGGCCAAATTGTCCATTGGGCACCATGGTGAGAGGTCCCTGGAGAGCTTCTGTCACTGGCAGAATGAGGAATATGGAGGAGCCCGGTACCTCGGCAATAATCAGGTTCCAGGAGGGAAGGATGATACGCCCCCCGTGGACGCAGCTGTATTTGTTACCAGGTGAGGCTGGATTTGGTCTGTAGCAGTGCACACAGCTGGGAAAAGGCATGTCCCTCTTTGGAGTGGAGAAGAGGGCAGTTTGCTCGGAATCCAGGCTTGGAAATCAGACCGTGGGCCAGATCACCGAGCCTTGAATTCCTCGTCAGTAAAATGGGGGTAAATTATAGTGTCTAACCCTGAGTTACAAGGATCCCGTGAGCACAAGAAGTGCTTCTCATGGTGCCTGGCCCAAAGTAAGGATGCAGTCAGCATTTGCCATAATTGTTGCTGTTGTTACTATTAAAAGAAAAGTACCAAAATCCTGGTTACCCAAAAATCTTAAAGCTTCTAAGAAAATGCATCTGCTACCTCTCCTGAGCACCAGAGATAATGCTCACCAGGAAAGAGCTAACCTGTGTTTGAGGTTGCCTCTCGACTGACTTGCGGGTGCTGTCGGTTGTGGAGGGGGAGTGGATACCCCGAGTTTCCTATAGGAGGGAGTACATGTAGGTACCCGTGTGCTGTGCATGGCCCCAACCCCAGGGCACTCCTGGGGCAACAGCATTTGGCAGAGAGGTCTGGGGAATTCCCATGCATGTTCTGTTGCAAGTAAGGAGCTGAGCATCTTTCTAACTATAGAGCTGGACTTTTCCAGTTTGAGAGGGACACCAGGAGCCCGGCAGCGGACAGCAGAAACCAAAGACAGCCTTCCCATGGAGGGAGCTGCCATGTCCTCTTAGTTTGCCAGGGGGATGCAGTAACAAATGAGCACAGCCTGGGGGACTTAAAACAACAGAAATGTATTCTTACACTGTTTGGGAGGCCAGAAGCCCCAGGTCAAGGTGGGCAGGGCTGTGCTCTCTCTGAAGGGTCCAGGAAAGGATTGTTGCATCTTTCCTCCTAACTTCCAGTGGTGGCCTGCAATCTTTGGCATCCCTTGTCTTGTAGGTGCATGGCTCTGACCTCTCCTGCACTGTCACGTGGTCGTTTAGCCTCCTCCCTCTCTCCCAATTACCCTCTTCTCATAAGGACATTGGTCCTTGGATTAGGGCCCAGCTGTAGCCCAGTGGGATTCCATCTTAATTTGCTTGCACCCGCACCGACCCTCTTTCCAAATAAGATCGCATTCACAGGTACAGGTACTAGGGGTTAACACTTGAACATATCTGTTTTTGGGGACACACTTTAACCCACAACAGATATGGATGTGGCTCTTTCATTTTCCTCTCATGTCTCAAACCTCTCCGAGAAAAACTGATTTGCTTGGGTTGCCTGACTTCCATGATGTAAGTAGAATGTGTTGTGTTCACACCAAAACTCCCCCTTTATGAAATAGGCAGAAGTGTTTCTTATCATTTTAATCTGTTGGATTAAAATGTGAAAATGTTATTAGACTTGCTATGAATCTGTTTTGAATTTTAGGGAATTTTTAAAATTAATTTAGGGAAACGACTTCTCAAATTATAGGTTGTCTTTTTTTTTTTTTTTTTTTTTCTTTCTTCTGAGTTCAGAGGTTAAGTTGTGGCAAGGAGGGCTTTATCATTCTGGTAGCCTGAGACAGCCTGCCCCTCAAAGAGGAGCCAGAAAAGCTCCTTGGTGTATCTCTTGAGCTACTTCCTGTAAGCCCCTGGCCCAGTGACATCCCAAAGCTGTCTGGGGAACTTCTGACACCTTATCTCCAGGTACCAGGCAAGGCAACCGCCTAACCTTCTCCTCTTAAAAAACCCCGGGACGTGCGTATTGCTGCCACCAGACCCTGAGCACATACCTTGTCCCCACTGTGGGTGGATGATGCAGTAATTGCCGACCCCAAAGGGTTAAAAATGTGCTCTGTAGCATGCTGATCCCTGAGGAGAGCATTTGCTGCCGTTACAGGCTCTGATTAAATGTATAATAGGACATGTGAGAAGACCTCTATTCAGTAATTCTGATGGCTTGCCATCCGGCTGGTGCTCTACCAGGCACCAAGGACAAACGATGAGCAGGAACTGGTTCTTGCTTTGGATCTGGGTTTGCTCAGCCCAGGGAGTGCTGGGAACATCCAGGCACCGCCTCCCCCAGTGGTCACCCCCGCCCCCTGGCCTCGTGCATACTGGCCAGAGGTTGCCACGGCTCCAAGCACTTTGAAATAGTGGGGTTTTCTGTAAAGCACCCTAAGAATTGCAGCATTGGGGTGATAACGTAGCACCCTTTGAGAGTGGATTTGATTTGGGGAGCAGGGTAGGGTCCTTGGGAACCATGTCTGCGTACAGCTGTTAATTCACGCAACTGATTTTCCAAATGCTCATTAAGTAAACTCCTAGAGAAGAGCTCTAATAACATCATCTTTGGAACGTATCACTGAACTTCCAAGGTCACTACTTTGAAAGTGGTTTGTCCCAAAACTAGATAAAACATACAAATTCTGGTGTTCGTGAGATCTTTCCCGACGTCATCTCTTTCTTACAGTTTCATTCCTTGTCTGGGTCAAGGATGCACTTGCAAGTGGTCTCCGTTTGGGAACGAGTAGCCCCTTTTTTTTCAGAGGCAGTCAGTGTTACTGAAATCAGTGTTGACAAAGCCTCCGGCTTAGCCTTTTTACAAAACACTATCGTTGGTAGACATGAATTTACCCTGGACCTGAGAAGGCTGCTAGTTAGGTTTTCTGGCTCTCTTCCCTGCTTCCCGCCTCCAACAAACTTATTTATTGTAGTGGAAATATTTTGCATAAAAATATCGGATTTTTTTTTTTTTTAACATCTCACACCCATTAGGTTACATTAGGTTTTGGCTCTTACCGAAAACAAACAAGACAGAAAATAACGACCATTGTCAGGATATGGAGAAATGGGAACCCTTGCGCACTGTTGGTGGGAAATAGTAAATGCATCCTCGAAATACTAAGTGCAGAATTACCCTTTGGTCCAGCAATCCTACTTCTGAGTATAGACCCAAAAGCATTGAAAGGAGGGTTTCTTTTTTTTTTTTAAGATTTTATTTATTTATTTGACAGGCAGAGATCACAAGTAGGCAGAGAGGCAGGCAGAGAGAGAGGGGGAAGCAGGCTCCCTGCTGAGCAGAGAGCCTGATGCGGGGCTCGATCCCAGGACCCTGAGACCACGACCCGAGCCGAAAGCAGAGGCCTTAACCCACTGAGCCACCCAGGCGCCCCTGATTCCACTTCTTTGACACCCTTAGAGCAGTTAAATTCCTAGAGACAGGGTGGAACGCTGGAAGGAGGAAGGAATAGGAAGTTCGACGGATGTAGTTTCAGTTTTGTAAGATGAAAAGACTTCTGGAGATTGGTGCCCAACATTATAAATGCATTGAACCTCATGGAGCCGTGTGCCTAAAAGGGTTTAATGCCTAAGGGTTTAAGATAGCAAATTCTGTGTTCTGTGTATTTTACTCACTTTAAGACAGTTTGAGAATTTTTCTAATTAAGCCCTTAGGGGGTGGTCCCAAGTGCATGGGGGCAGGTGCTAGGGAAGGGGGCATGTCTGGCGACCCCTGAAGAGCAGGGTTCCTTCTGCTGCAGGCAGAGCCAACTGCAAAGCCTTCCTGCATCTCTGTTAGCCGGGGTGTTCCTCCTTGGTTTTGCACGGAACTCTTATCAACTACCTGAGCGCTCGTCCTTCCTCTCACCTGCTTCTGTGGAGCCGCTGGGCTGGATCGGCCGGTGCCCAGCTCACTCTCTGGGTCCTCCCAGCTGTGAAATTGAAGACCTTCCAGAAGGACGGGGGAGGCAGTGGGGAGTCGGGGCTGGGAGCCGAGTTGGCCAACAGGCACTGTTTAATAATTAGAGTCTGAGAGATACAGTTCACTAGGTTGGGATAATAACGGGCTGATGTTTTCATGTGGAATTTGGGTGCAAGACAGCTGCTGCTCCCGAGAGAGAGCTCTTTCCTCCCGGACTAATCCGAGCTGAGAGTCTAATCACGGGCTGCAGGGACCCAATGGGGTTTACGGGCCAGCGTTCCCCAGTCCTGGGACCGAGGCTGGTCAATGCAAGGCTTTCTTCCCGACCTCCTCTGGCTCCTTATGGGCTGTGGCTTGTCCCAAGAGTGCATTGTCCCAGATGCCCACCAGCCCTGCAGATGGCCAGCCGCAGAGATGCGAGCATGACATCACGTGCAGCGGAAGCTGCCGAGCCAGAAGCCACGGAAGCGGGTTTTCCAGTGGCCCCAGCCATGTCTGGGGCTGGAAAACCCCTCTGAGTGGACGGAGGCTGGGGACCACAGAGGACCCACATAGAGGACTGAGGTCCAGGCGGGGCTTCAGCACCTGACACTGCCTTACTTTTGGCCCTGCATCTCCCTTAGGAAGCCACGAGAGAGGGAATCGTCCCCCCCTCCACCCCCAACCGAGGTCTGTGCCCTTGGGAGACACCAGGAGCAGACGCGCAGGGCCAGCTCGGAGCTCCGCCACGGGTCCACCTGCAGCTGTCCCTCCACCCTCCCCTTCGTGTCACTCTATCCTGCTCCCCAGGCTCTGACTGAGGGGGTCTCCTGTGGGCCTAGCTCATGGTGAGCGCTCAGAGAGTATCTGGACCATTGCCTTGCATTTTCTCAGGTTCCGCAACATTGCGGAGATGAGGACACCTGTAAACTTGCACGGCAAGTTGAAAGTGTTCTGGAAATGTGTGTCGGTCGGTCATAAAGGAGCCGTTACTTATTAAGCCCCAATGGTATGCCAGGCAATAGGTTATGCACAAGATTAGCTACCTAAAATCGTGGGGCCTGGTGCAGAGTGAAAATGAGGGATCTTAAAAAGCTTTTCAAGATGGCAATAGAAGAGCAGTAAACCAGGTCGGGGGATGGGAAGCTTTAGTGCATACAGCTGACGCACCCATGCAACGTTCCAGGTTGCGGAGGTCCACATGGCTTGCGCTCTCTTGAGGAGCAAGCAGTGAAAAGTAAGAGGACTAGGACGGGAGAGCTCTGACGGAACCCCACTTGAACCCTTCAGCCCTGGCATGTGCGTTAGGCCTGAGTTTGCAGTAGGTGCAGGATCACGTGGAGATGAAGCTGCCCCTCTGGGAAGCGGGCTTGTGTTTTCTTTTCTGAGAAAGGACCTTGAACAGGAAGGAGAAAGAAGATTCAAATCTTGGCTGACCCTTTCAAGCCAGGCTTGGGATTGAGCTTGGCTTTCCCCTCTGTGAGCAGACAGCACTTCCTCCCACTCCCTCAGGAGAAGCAATGGGTGGTGTTGCAGGGTCCATCATTTGAGACCACCTACTTCCCTTCAGGGAAGTCATGGGATGAGGGAACACGCACTGCTCCTGTCAGCCAGCAGGGCTGGCATTCTCCAAGATGGCGCTCTCTCCAAGATGGCGGCCTCTTCTACTCAGTTCTCTTTAGTTCTTCACCGTGGGACTGATGGTCACGTGCGCTTTCTCCTTTCGCCGAGGCTTTTAGTTATGCTCACTTTGGGAAACCCTGGACAAGGTGTTGGGCCACCTTGGTCCTTGTGTGCACGTGACATTCAATACCTTCAGATGGGAGGGGTGTCCCATCAACAGTGTTGAGTTGGGGTCAGATAGATAGCAGAGCAGTGAGCATATTTATGTCCTTAATTTTATTTGTTTGGTTTTTCTCTCTGCCACCGCTGGTTCCTTGCCACCTTCTACTGCCTGCTAATTAGCCTTTTAGAAGGTCATCTTTTGTTTTGAGTGTTTAATTCCAGTTCATTCTCATACAGTGTCATATTAGTCTCAGGTGTCAATATAGCGATTCATCACTTCCATACGTCACCTGGTGCTCATCACAAGTGCCCACCTTCGTCCCCACCAACCTGTTTCACCCATCCCCCACCAACCCCCCCTTTGATAACCATCAGTTCTCTCTAGTCAAGAGTCTGTTTCTTGGTTTGTCTCTCTTTTTCCCTTTGCTCATTTTTTGTTTGTTTCTTAAATTCCACGAATAAGTGGGATCCTGTGGTGTCTGTCTTTCCCTGACTGGCTTACTTTACTTAGCATTATACTCTCTAGCTCCATCCACGTCATTGCAAATAACAAGATTTCATTCCTTTTGATGGCTGAGTGATACTGTGTTGTATATATACACAGCACATCTTCTTTATCCCTTTGTCTATCGATGGATACTTGGGCTGCGCCATATGTTGGCTATTGTAAACAGTGCTGCTTTAAAGATAGGGGTGCGTGTATCCCTTTAGATTAGTGTTTTTGTATTCTCACTCCTGGGTATTTACCCAAAGGATACAGAAATACTAAAAGGTCAACTTTGACAGAAAAAAAAATCAAGGCTTCCTTTTATGGCTCCTGTGGTTATCCCACCTCCCTTCCTGTGCAAGTTCCTGTGGTTTTAGAGTGGGATCGTGACAAGTGTAGGGTTCTTTCTTTTTTTTTCCTGCCAAATGTGGGATTCTTGAAGGTTTCCTTTTTCCCTTTGTTAAAATGATTTTCAAATTGATTGTCAAGCATAGAGTTTTGTCAGGAAAAAAATTAGAAACTTGCAGTGAGCAGAAGCTGTGTGAGCTGCTAACAGTATTGGCCCCAGCTTCTCCTGAGTGTTTCTCTGACCAGTTTCGGGGCCACGCCTTCAAAGCCGCCCCCTTCTCCCCTCTGCACTCATAGGCTGCCCAGTGTATCTGGTTCTGTAGAGCAGGACCCCGAGGAGAATCTTTGGGTCTGAGTCGGAGGTGGAACCTTTGACAAACCTCACCTCAGGTGAGCCCGAGGCAAAGCAATAGTTGGGAACACAGGCTCTGCTCCATTTCCACAAGAGGCCACCTGGTACTAAGAAGTGTCACGTGTGGGTCACCGTTTGGGGGTAAATACACAGAACATGCTATGTCTCAGAGGGACTGATGTGGAGGCAGAGGGAAGGTGACCTTACAGACTTAGGTTAGGACACTGACGTGCTGCCTTCTCTGTCATTGTGCCCACTAGGAACGGCAGGTCAGATCCTTCCTGTGGTTTTTTGACAGATTTTGACAGAGAGTAGCAGAGGAATTGAGGACACTGATGCTGGGGTGTCTGAAAGGGGAAAAGTGGCCCAACCTGGACTTGCCACTTTCTTTCACAACTGGGCTTAGTGCCCACCTTGTCTGGCTGGCCCCATCTTCCTTCCCAGAAGAACTTTAAAATGAGAGGAAGTGGCTTCAGAACACACCTTTTAAACCTGAAGGAGTTTAAGGGAGTGGGCATTTTTTGTCAGCACCCCCCCCAGCCCCCTTGAGAAGGCGAACATGGGGCCCTGGGGTCAGGAGGTGGGGAGACCAGGCGACTGCTCTCCTTGCCGGGTCCCAGGCAACCAGTGATCAGGTCAGCCCCTAACTGTGGGAATGCTCTGGTTTTGGAAAAGAAGGACCCAGACCTATTGTTCCAAACATGAGTAGCTACAGGCCATAGCGAACCTCTGGGGCTGGATGAGCTTTTGAGCAAATTTGCTCTTCCCACATAGCCACACTCCCCAGGGGATCCTGGGAAGCTTTAAAGGATATAACTTGAAGAAATCGCTTTCCGTTTTCTTCTCATGGAAGTGGGCACTAAGCTACATGACCACTTCAGCATCTAAAGCCAGTCGCTGCCTGAGTAGAGTCACTTGGGGAAGTCACCATAGTTTGATGATCCTGAAGAAGGATTGTCTCAGATGCATGACTTGCAAACCTCTTTTTCCAGAACTTCCACAGTTGTTGGAGGGAGCCCTCCCAGCAACCAGGTGTTAGGTAGAGTACTTTTGGTGGGGTAACTGGGCCTACCAGTTGGGAACATTGTGGATGGGTTACTCTTGACAAATGGCTAGCATTGCTATGGGCAGAACGACCAGTCAAGCTTAGCTGACAGTGATTTCTTCTCCCATCCTTGGGGGCTACTGCATACACCTGACCATGTCTGTCTTTGTGTTTTGTGTGTTTTTGTTTTCTTTAGGACAGATTTCTGCGTACACAAAGACGAACCGTGTGACACCGTTGGTAAGTTTAGAAGCAGAATAATCACTTAGGGGGCTGCTGAACCCCGTGATAATCTGGAGACCTAGTAACATTTCCAGTCTGGAGGAACTCTCCTCAGACAGACCCTACCCTTTCCTGTTGCCTCTTTTCTTGTAAATTGGTTCTTTGACTTCATTTGACTTCCTCTTTTGTTCCTGAGAAGTGTGGAGGTTGCTCAGGGCAGAAGGCATCAAGACAGATGCTGAATAAGGAAGACGGGAAAAGTGAAGCTACGGGAGGTGCCTCCAGGTTGCCTCAAGGGGACCGTGGTTGGGGGCACGCTTGACTCTGACCCTCTTGGTCTCTCTTATAGTCAGGGACCCCACGACGTTACACTGTTGTCATGAGCTTCCTGGTTCACTCTCATGCATGTGGCTGATCATTAGCAAAGGCCTAAGCAGTAAAGTGGGACTCTGTGGGTGTGAGGCTAGCCTCCTCCACCAGGCTGGACACCAGGCTCATTGCTTTCTGGTTACAAGGTCCCAAGACCAACACACATCACGGCAAGACACGTTTGCCTTCTTCCCCTTCCCTCCCTCTTCTACCTTCACTCCCTCCCCCAGCTTTTCTGTTTGCCTTCCCTTCTCTTCTATCCTTCTTGGTATCTGGCTTGTTCTTGACAGCTCATAGGTTTCCACTTGCAACCAGTTTTTGACCCAAAGGAAGAGGGTGCTTGCTTCACAAAGGAAACATCAAGACGGTTTCCAATTTTGACTGCTGGGGCACACACCTTTATTTGCCATGAGGTCGGAACATGGCCCCACTGAGAGCAAGATTCTGAATGTGACATGCTTAGAATTGTAGGTAAACAGCATAGGATTGACAGATACATATTATCGTGGGATTCAAATGTTTAAAAACCTGTGCTTCCTGGGGAGTCCTAGCACGGTTTTAAGTGCCCTGTCTCCAAATACATTTACATCGGAGGTTAACGCCCCAACATATGAATTTCAGGGAGAGGAGGGCACCATTCGGTCCATAACACTACTCATTTGACACTTTGCACACTGCTGGTGAAATCTTATGTCCTTGCATGACCTCCCAGGTGTGTGTGTGTGTGTGTGTGTGTGTGTGTGTGTGTGTGTGTCTGTTTCCTCCATAAAATCTTTTAATTGCATGGACCAGCTGTAATCATTCTTTCTGTGACAGCCACTTAGCAGAAGGCTGAACCAGCCCTGTCTCATACTTCTTTATTGCATCCTCTTTTCCAATACCTCAGTGATGTTCAGCTTCTACAAAGGAAATGAATCCCTTCCTTTGGGGAAAACAAAACAAAACAAAACTTACATAGTGTTTTTGTTTTAACATGCCATAATTTATTTGTACTTATTATCAAGTCCGTTTGTAAGAACAACAGTAATTCCATGAAGAGAAAAATTTGAAAGCTGGGGTTATGGCAGACTTACAGCAGTCTCATCCAATTTGTTTCTGTAATTTTTTTAACCTTTTATTTTGTAATAATTACAGAATCATTGAAAGTTGCCAAAGAAATTCAGAGCTAAGTCTCTTGTACCTATCACCCTGTTTTCTCCCATGGTTGCAACTTATGTAACCGTAGTGTATTTCCAAACCGGGAAATTGATTGGCACGGTACAGTGAGCTAGGCTACAGATTCTACTCAGGTTTCACAGGGTTTTTGCACGAATCCTGTTTTGGGGTGTGTTTTTACATATAGTTCTATGCCATTTTATTATGTATGTAAATTCATCCAGCCACCAACACAGTCAGGAGCAGAACTGGTCCATCACTTCCAAGCAGCTCGCTCCCGCTACTCCTGTAAATCTCCTTCTTCTCCCTCCCCCCTTTCCTTTCCCTAACCCCTGGCTACCATGTATCTGTATTCCAAGTCTATAATTTTGTCATTCCAGCATCCAATTTATTTTTGTATTTGTTTTAATTCTGCAGAATGGAAAAATAATCTGAATCACATAGGTATGTGGTTGCCAGTGCTAAGAGATTTTGAACAGCTGCCTTCAGATCTCAGGGTCAGGCTCTAGCAGGAGAGGCTGTGCCCTTGGTTTTACAGAAAATGGGAGAATGTGGCACCTTGAGAAACCAGGGAAGCTTGGGGATTGCTGGTGTTTTGTAATTTGGCACATAATAGTGTTTTCTGTTTGCTTTCTTGGTTTGATTGGGGTATAAACTTACATGCATACAGCAAAGGGTACCAGTCTTGGTGGATTTTTAATTTATACCTGTGCTTTTTTTTTTTTTAAACTGGTATTTATTGAAATAGTTTTTTTTTTTTTAAGATTTTGTTTATTTATTTGACAGACAGAGATCACAAGTAGACAGAGCGGTAGGCAGAGAGAGGGGGGAAGCAGGCTCCCACCTGAGCAGAGAGCCCAATGAAGGGCTCGATCCCGGGACCCTGAGATCATGACCTGAGCCGAAGGCAGAGGCTTTAACCCACTGAGCCACCCAGGTGCCCCTATTGAAATAGTTCTAAAGCAGCATTTTGAATTCTCTTTTAACCTATTTTTTAAATGGTAGTAAATATAAATAACATAAAATTTATATATAAAATCCTAGCCATTTTTAAGTGTGTAGTTCAGTGACATTAAGCACATCCACACTGTGGTACAGTCATATGCCTGTGTCCTCAAAACCACTGCTCAGATTAAGGTATGGAATGTCATCAGCCCCTTCAAAGGTTATCTCATGCCCCCTCCCAGCCCCTATCCCCCCAAAGGTAATGTGCTGTTACTAACTTTAAAAAAAAAAAAGATTTTATTTATTTATTTATTTGAGAGAGAGAGAGAGAGAGAGAGACAGCATGAGACTGGGAAAGTCAAAGGGAGAACCAGACTCTGCTGATCAGGGAGCCCGATGCAGGACCCCATCCTGGGTTTCCAGGATCATGACCTGAGCCCAAGGCAATAGCTTAACCAGCTGAGCCACCCAGGTGCCCCTGTTGTAAACATTTTGACTACTGTCTTAAAAAGCAGCTTAAAACAGATTTCAGAGTGAAATTTGAACAATTCATTCGGAGAACCCCCAGGTAGCTAGTGGAGTTTGGAGCTCTGTTAAAAAATATTTTCCCTGCTCAGTCTGCATGCGCCCATTTCGGCAGACCAGGATTCTGATTGTGAGGAATAGGCATAAAGGGCGTTTACCAGAGGGGGGCTGCCCATGCAGGTGCAAGATCTGGTTGGAACACAGCACCCCAGGCAGCCCCGGAAGGGGAGGCCGTAGACGCCATGCAGAGGTCAGTGGTGGGGCCGGTGCGGGATGGCCTCCATCTGCTTGTCACCAGCTCCTGGTCATGCCCTAGGTCACGTGACCTGCAGCTCCTCAACCCATCTGTAAGGGGATAAGGAGGTTCTGGCTCTTTGGGCTTCCACTGGGGGGCAATAACATGGGAAGGAGTTCTCCGGAGGGCAGTCATTGTGCTTTAGCCAGGGGGAAGGATAGATGCCAGACAGTCCAGGACCGCCAATGTCCACTGTATCCCTGATCCTTTCATGAAGATTGAAATATGAGAAACCCATGTGTCTGTAGCTTACTATCTGTGCATGTTACCGGGGTCCTACTGACGTAGGCAAGGAGGGCTTCCCTGGCCCTAACTCTGAGGTGGTCTTGACCCCTGATGGGGAGGGGCCTCATCAAGCCCCACTTCCTTGGCTTGGAGCTGACCTGGGCAGATGAGTGAACATGCTTTTAAAACAGTCATACCTGATGGACCCTTCCTCCCAGCTCTGCTAGTTTGGGCCACTGTGGAAAGAGAAGGGATGGCAGCACAGGGGTCCTGCTGATCTCCACCTTGTAGGAAGACACGTACAGGGAGAAAAGGCAACGCTTATGGCAGAAGGTTCTAGAAAAACAGCTTCATTGCTAAGAGAAACAGCTGCCCCCTCACTGGATGCTCCCTACTTTGTACATTTAAAACCGTGCCTTTGTGGGGTTGTGGGCTTTTTCTCTATTGCCTCATCCCGAGGAGAAAGCTGTCCTAAGTAAGAAGGAGTGTGAAGGCGTGAGACCTCTGAAAGCCTCTGTTGGCCCTTCACATTCCACTTCCTAACACACATGCCTCTGGGCATCTGTAGGTGGTACCTGAGCAGCCTGGATGACCAGACATGTCTGAGTTACGTGGCGTTTGTCCTGGTTCTAGCCTTAGCTGTAAACTGAACTGTGGTGATTTTTTTTTTCCTGACAACAACCTTATTCAAGCTTCACAAATTTAGTTCTAATTATTAGCATTAGTGTTTTTCCTTGCTTGCTCTCATTTTTTTAATTAAGGGCAAAACCTCCTTTCCCCTACTGCTACCAAGTCAAGGGATGTGATACGTGATAATCCTGCACTAAAGACAATGGACATGCTCAGCGGCCTCGTGAAATGTTGAATATACAAGGCCAGGGAGATACCACTGAGGGGCTCTGAGACTGGTCCACACACTGGGACCCTGCTGTGTAGACAGACGTCCCCATGGCTGTCCCTGAACTTTGTCATCCCTGTGTGGCCCACAGTGCTGGCACTGAGCTCCCTGAGATGTCTGGGCAGCCCAGCGGGGGCTTCATGGATGTGGCCACTGACCTCCAAAGAGCGGGTCTGTCTGGGAAGGAGGAAATGCGAGAAGGAGCATCACCCACCAGGATGAAGGTTTTGGGGAATAACGTATCTGCTTTGGAAGTCTGTTTCAGGGCAGCCTCCGTGAGACCACGGATGGAACATTTGCTGGGAAACCAGTGACAGACGAGGGTGAGTGGGGCTTAGTGTCCAAACACTGCCCTGTTGGGTTTTTATTAAATAAGAGCGTCAAGGAGGAGATGTTCTGAACTGTGTCATGTCTCAGGGCTTCAGCAAGAATGTCTTGCCACTTTGTGTGTATAAAAAAACATCAAAATGCATCCCTCTGGCTGTCCTATATCCCCCCACATTCATCACTCTGGAGGACCTTTGGTTGGTCCAGTCCTAGTGCTGAAGCTGAAAAACTGAAAAACTTTGTGGAATGTCCTTCAGAGTGCACATTTTATTTATTTAT